GGGGCACCTGGGTGGTTCAGTTGGTTAAGCATCTACCTTCTGCTCAGGTCATGATCTCAGGGACTTGGGATTGAGCCCCGTGTTGGGCTCTCTGCTCAGCGGGGAGCCTGCTTCCCCCTCTCTCTCTGCCTGCTTCTCTGCCAACTTGTGATCTCTGTCTGTTGAATAAATAAATAAAAATCTTAAACAAATACCACCATTTTGTAACCTCCAATGAAATAATGAATCTAGGTAATGACTAATGCCTAGCAACACCACGAAAGACAACCAGCAATGAAGGGCCTTCTTGCTAAAAAAGTATTTGTGTGTGCATCTCAAATCTGAAGGACATCAAACCCCTAGATCTAACTACCAATCTACAGGAAATAAAGGGTATAGAAAAGTATTTTAAGTGACAACAAAATCCAAATTGTGGGATATTGATCAGAACAGATGACCTAGTTTTTCAATAAATAAACTGCAAAGGAAATAAAGAGACATGGAGAGAAAACAACATTAACAGGAACATATAAGTTAGGGAATATTCATGAACCTAATTTGAACAAACAGTAAATCAATCAATAAAAACATTTGACTCTGTATGTACATATATGTATACATATATGCATGCACTGTACACATGTGGGTATATCTCTATATATGCTTACATGTACATATGTATGCACTTACATACTATGCATACATGCGTGTGTACGTACATTAAGATAACTGGGAAAATTTGAACATGGACTAAAGGATTTGATAATACTAAGAAATGGTTCATTTTTTAGGTATGAAGATTTTGTTTTAGAGAAAAATGACTCATTTTCTGGAGAAGTATACTGAATATTCATAGGTAAATTGGGATAATATTTATTTGTCCATAATTTTTTTTAAAAGATTTTATTTATTTGAGAGTGAGAGAGAACGAAAGAGAGAACATGAGCAGGGAAGGAAGGGAGGGACTAAGGGAAAAGGAGAAGCAGACTCCCTGCTGAGCAGGGACTTGGACATGGGGCTTGATCCTAGGACCCCCAGGATCATGACGTGGGCCAAAGGCAGACACTTTTGACTGAGCCACCCAGGCTCCCCTATTTGTCCACCATTTTGAGGTATGGTGAATAGAAGGACCGAGTGTCAGGGAGTTGAGATTAGTTTGAATTGGGCGAGGGATACCTAAGCACTCACTGTAACTAATCTCTACTTCTATAGAAAACTAAAATTTTCCACAATAAAGTTAAAAAGTATAGACACAAAATGACTAAAAACTATGCAGCTAATATTAAGAAACTGGTAATGGAACAATGCCATCAGACCAAGATATTCCAACTTCAGAGTCCACTGTAATCACCTGAAGAGCTTTTTCACAATGCAATCTCGGAACTACCACTGTATCACTGGACCTTGAAGACTAAAGGAAACGTGTCATGCCCCCCAGGACTGCAGGACTGGGGAAAAATGATTGTGGACCACTGTTCAAACCCAGGAAGGGTGGGGGTTGCACATTATTCACCCACTTTTTATCTCCATGCCGGACACTAAAAAAATATTCGGTGAATTAATCACTGACCCTGGCTAGTGAAAATGAACAGGCAAGCTTAGAGCAGCTAAATGCTAGATGTGCAAAAAACATTTATATTTGATATTATAAAAATGCAGTTAGGTTACTGAGTTGAGAGAGCATGGCTTTCTGGTTTGTTTTTTTTTTAAATATTGTATTTATTTATTTGACAGAGAGACACAGCGAGAGAGGGAACACAAGCAGGGGGAGTGAGAGAGGGAGAAGCAGGCTTCCCACCAAGCCGGGAGCCCGATGCGGGGCTCGATCCCAGAATCCTGGGATCATGACCTGAGCCGAAGGCAGACACTTAACGACTGAGCCACCCAGGTGCCCCGCATGGCTTTCTGTTTTAAGTGGAATGGGTTTTCATCCGAAAGCCACAGACTAGTCACTTCAAACTGCTACAAGTAAACTCCCAGAATAAAAATAGTTTTAAATACACAATTGGGTGGGGTGTGGCTAGCAAATATTCTGATTCTACAATCTGTTTTGGACGAGACAGTGCTTCTTATGTGACTAACAAAGCAAACAGCAGTCAGATTCCCTGTGCTGAAATAAGTATACTATTTGCAAAAAGGGTTGAATGGCCAAGCCTTATCCAATAAAGACACCACATTTTCCAAAGTTAAAGGGGGTATATAGATTGACAAATACCCACATGTATTTACATATCCCCAAAAGAAGGCATCTGAGCACCTGGTATGGACTTTGTCTCTAAAAAGTCCTAAATGGAGCCAAGCCCACTGTCTCACCATGGGGAACAGCAAAATACCTCAAACACAGAATGCTCTAATTTTAAAGCTGGGAGGAGCTTGGAAACCTAACCCAACCTTTTCATTGTGTAACAGACACCTAGAGAATTTGAGGTGAGAAGCTCTGGAAATAGCTGGAGTAGCCACAGACAAACAAACGGTCTACACAGGTGCACAGTGTAAAGACCTGAGAATTAATCTTCCGTACCTTCACGTGAACGTAATCTAACAGGGAAACAGTCTCAATTATAAATGTGTGTGTATGTGTGTACCCACATATACATACAAAAATACTAGAATATGTACTTGTAATAATTCATTTTAAAACAAATTTGAAACAAAAAACCCCAAATTCTACAGGCTAGGCTTCAAGGGCATCCATGTAACCTAACCTATTTTTTCAGAAACTTATCCAAATGAACCATAGTAGACAGAAGGCAGCCATTTCTCTTACTAATCCTTTGCAGTATCTTACAGGCATAGCAGAGTATATATAATAATTATAAAAGCTCCAAGTGATGAGAAAATGATTGGAATATAAATTTTCTAATTATCCTGTTCATGTGAGCTGATACAAAAATCACATTTCATATCTATCAATGAATATTACATAGAGACATATAGGATGGTAAAGATTTTTAAACATGGCAACCAATGGAAGGTTTAAAAGGGAGAGTTAGGAGAAAGGCAATCAGTGAGGTGAGCTATCCATTTATATTTCTATAAAGGCTTAGTCTAACAAAATACAGAAAATTATATTCAGGACAGGAAAAAGGGACAAGAAAAAGAACAAACCTTTATTTCATCCAGTGGTCAAACACTAACTTACATCAGTTATCAATCAGTCCTGAAACCATTCTACTTTAATTCTGCAGAGGTTTTTAAAAGGTTGTATCTATGCCCGTTACGGAATTTTCCTTCTCACCTACTTTATTTGTACAGTTGATTGCACTAGCTCTAAAAATAATGAAATTAAATAAGATACAAAATTTAGTCTCCCAACTTCCTGTTTGTATTAGATGTTTTTTAGGATCCTGAAAACTGACTTTTAAGAGTCTCCTAATATTGTTAAAGAGAATTCTAAGCATTGAAAATGACAATGATAAGGTTTACTTTCATCTCTGGGGGAAAAATGTTTCTAATTGGGCTGAATCAAGATTCCTGAAGGAAATTGTAAGGTAAACCACTGATACTTTTTTTAAAAGCTGAAAGCAAAGTTTGAGGAATTTTTTTCTTCTGAAATGAACACAACCATCTTATTCAATAGACACAATATGATATCATCAGTTAAGGCTTTTGCCATCTATAATCTATACTACCACTCTAAAGTAAAATCCAAAATTAAGCAATAACACCTAAAGCTATTTACTGAACATACTGTTGTGTCGTAAATAAAGAGTCCAAATCCTTTATGGTAATTATATTCCTAACTCTACTATCAAATTCATGGATATCTTGCCTCTGTCTGAAAACTAAAATATTTAATATATAAAAATTAAAGTAGATATTAACATATTAAAAATTTCTCTTACTAACTTCTGAGAACTTACATTAAAATCCCAAGACATAAAACAACATACCTACATTTTAATAGTTTTCTAAGAATTGGAGTTAGCTATTTGCATAAAAATTTCGGAACATTAATGGACACATTGAGGGCCTTATGTCATATTTGAAGAACTTAGAGGATGGTTTAAATCCACACCCCACCCCACCCCCTGCAAAAAGACTTCCTCTCCTACTTTAATATACTACCAAATATTTTCAACCAAATAACATAAGAATATGCTTTCAAAAACACAAAGGGGGTATTATCATCCCATTATGAACCAACCTAAACATCTGAGTCATAACTTCTAAAATAAAACTCAGAAAAAGATGCTGCATGGTTAAAACTATTAATATATATTGAAGACAAAGAGTTTATTTTTCAATAAGAAAATAAGAGAGCCCAACCTGATCTTGTATGCTTGCCCAATAGAACTTTCCACTATAATTAGTATTCTCCACCTCTCAGGGGAGGAGCTTAAACTCAGGGGAACCTCAAGAAGTAAGGGAGAAACAGTATAAATACTGCAGGACAGCTCTGGAGAAGGTACCTTCTGCACTGCTCACCTGGCCACAGGAGGGCTCAGAAAGCTGCCAAGAAACCATCTTCAGGAATTCCTGGCACCCAGGTGAGTCTATGACTTGATGTTCTGGTGGACTTCCATGGTAGCTTGTTTGGAAACGGGCCTCGATAAATCAACTCTTTATTTTTTTGTCATTTAAAAAAAGTGACCTTCCACTAAAGTGTACTCAGAAAGTTCAATCCACATTAGTCTCTATAAGAAGATAGTCCTAAGAAAACCATATTTGTAAAATTATGTCCTACTTAGTTTATTTTGAAACTGCTGGATATTTCAACTTATGTTAAAGATCTTAAATTATTAATACAGGTATCCAATTATAGTTTCTGTATTTCTTCTTCAAAAATCACTTCAGTTTTACTGGATTACTTGAATGTGGTTTCCACTAAAAACTGAGACATATATTCATATAACTAAAAATTTCTAATTCTGGTTTATGGAATGTATTAAAAACAGAAAGGATAAGGTAAAAAAAGGTAGTTAACAAAATAAAGAATTCATGTGTTCAACTACAGACAAATAAAACAGGTCAATAACAAGAAATGATTCTTTTCTGTTTTTCAGACGCCATCTGAGAACATGCTGCCACAAACAGCCCTTTTGCTGCTAATGTTCTTGAACCTGGTTCATGGAGAATTTTATGCTGAGCGATTCCAAACACCTACAGGCATAAAAGGCCCACCACCCAACACCAAGACCCAGTTCTTCATTCCCTATGCCATAAAGAGTAAAGGTAAACTTTATATATTTTGCAGTATTAACTAACTGGTTATTGCTTTCTATAATCTTAATGATCTCTTTAACAAAATGCCTTTTTTTTTTAAGATTTTTTTAAAAATTTTTTTTGACAGACAAAGATCACAAGTAGGCAGAGAGGCAGGCAGAGAGAGAGAGAGAATGGAGGAAGCAGGGTCCCTGCAGAGCAGAGAGCCCGATGTGGGGCTCGATCCCAGCACCCTGGGATCACGACCTGAGCCGAAGGCAGAGGCTTTAACCCACTGAGCCACCCAGGCGCCCCTAACAAAATGCTTTTAACTCTATTTGGTGTTAAATTATCTTCAAATTCCTGAGTTTGTCCAAAATAATAAAGCAAAATGATTTATGGAAAAAGCAAGACTATTCAAGAACATTAATATCCTTTCCACAGTGAGTAGAGTAGAAAGATGTACCTGAAGAAAATTAAGAACTTTTATGTTTAAAGCTTTTCCCTCCATTGATGCTTCCGCACAAATAACCAACCATGAGGGAGAAATATGGATCCAAAACAAATTAATCAAGTTTAAAATCTTAATGAGAAAAAACTGCCAATTACACCGAGAGGAACAGGTTTAGGTATCTAAATACTTAACCATCATTTATTTGTACAACCAATTCGGCCAACACACCAATATATACAAAACTGAGTTCTTAATTACCAAATAAAATCTAATGCTTTCCACAAAATTTAGTAGGCAAATGAGGCAACAATTTTCCTATTTATACATTTTTTAAAGATTTTATTTATTAATTGAATATATATAGAGAGAGATCACAAGTAGGCAGAGAAGTAGGCAAAGGGGGGGGGGGGAGCAGGCTCCTCGCTGACCAGAGCCTGATGTGGGGCTCGATCCCAGGACCCTGAGATCATGACCTGAGCCGAAGGCAGAGGCTTAACCCACTGAGCCACCTAGGGGCCCCCCTATTTATACATTTTTGTATGGGTTAGCTGTCAAATACACAGACTTAATTGCTGTGTACTAACTGTGGGGCCTCAAGTAAGTTACTCACCCTCTCTGTGCCTTAGTTTCCTCACTCTTAAAAAAAAGCAGCAGCAGCGATCTCAAAGGGCTGTTAGGATGTGTAAGTGAGTTACTACCTGTAAAGTATGCAAGTATTAGCTGTGTTACTGGTACTTCTCTACTTCCTCACACTGTGGTAGTATGGGGGGCTAGCCTTAGATAGGTTTTAGTTTTGTTCTTGAATCTTTCCCCAGCCATTCAGCTTTCTCAGATATTGTGAAGAGAACTGAGAAAATGTATATGCACACTCCTAACAGATCCTCAAGGAAGGGCAATTATTAGGGTTTCTCATTCACTAATTCCACTGAATGACATCAGGCACACACTACCTGAAAAACATCTACTGAATCTAACTGCATAATCTGAACTGATTTTAAGATTCAAGTTTCCTTTCCTTAGTATTTTTTCATTATAGTTACATATTTCACCTTGCAAATAATGCTAAGGATATTTGCCATAAACTTTACAAATAGCGCTTTTGGAGACAACCATGTTCAGGAAAGTAAACATACAGGATTATCTTCTTAAAAAGAAAGATGAAATTTAAAACATTTCATGAAAGGTAGCTTAATGTTTAAAAATAAATGCACAGGTGTGTCACAAAAACTCCTGAATGTCTCAAAATACAAATAAAATACGAGAAAGAGCAAAGTTACAAAAGAAACCTGCTACTTTCCTTGAAGCAATGAATGGCAATTCATGTGAAATGCTACGACATACATCACTGGGTATATCCCTATAATCACAAATTCATACTCTTTGTAGTTTACCAAGATCATATGAAACCGCCTTGAGTTAAAAATCAAATGCACCCCTTGTAGAAGGTTAAAAATGTTTCTGTTTTTCCATCTTACTGTACTGCATTATCTTGCCTACTTCTGCAAAATAAATGAAAATATGTATCTTACGAACAAATGAAAAGCTTAGAAGCTGCATTTCAACTGCTAAATTCACTACAGTCTCTACTTGATGATACAGGTGGAAACTCAAGGACATCATCCTTCACTGGCAGGCACTAACGTACTAAAAGAAAGACAAAAGTCTACGATGTATACACATATAGCATTAGGTTGACAACAGAAATACAAAGAGTGCCTGTGTGATTCCTGGGCCCATCTGTTCAACACAGGTTCAAAGAGGGCTCAGCCAAAACACACCAAATTATGCTGCAAAGGAATGCAGAGCTGTGGCCCCATGGGTGCCATATTCTGACACGATCAACCACTATTTCAATTTCTGGGCATTTCAGAAACTTCTTTGCTAGTAATAATTTTTCCTTGAGGATGATATCACCCTAATCTTTCATTTTTTTTTTTTTCCATTGGCAAGCGACAAACAGGGGCTATCCCTTAAAGACACAACAGAATTCATTCTTTCTTGCAACAAGAGGTGGAGGACCTTTGAGGGCAATATTCCAAGTGACTGAGATCACCCTATCCTCAGACTTCCAGCCTCAAATGATGGTCTATGGAGTCGTTTTCATTTTTTTTAACATTTCATTTGTTTTTGAAAAAGAGAGAGTGTGGGGGGGGGCGGGTGGAGGAGGTGGAAAGAATTCCAAGTGGACTCCAAGCTGAGCACAGAGCTCGATCTCATGACCCTGAGATCATGACCTGAGCCAAGACCGAGAGTTGGATGCTTAACCGACTGAGCCACCCAGGCACCCCACTATGTAGTCATTTTCAGTAAGACTGTTTTTCCTCCCTATTTTAACAGTTAAACAGATTTCCAACCAGACTAAATGATTTTTAGTATGGATAAGATCTTTAGGAGATTCAGAATAAGATTCTGAAGTAAACCCCACAGTTTGCATTTGAAAAAAAAGGTGCTATTTTTTTCTATTTATTCATCTATTCTATTTGTAATGTATTACACCTCTTTATAGACATTTAATGTATATACTTTATAAAGTCAATCTATCAATGAGATATATATATTTACATATATGTGTGTGTGTGTGTGTGTATATAGAGAGAGAGAGTTCTTTTCCACAAATTAACTTTCTCACAGTCTTCTTCCTGATGTCATTTTCTGAAAACCCATGAGTGAATAAAGTTCCATACATTTAAATATTTACAAAATGAAATGTAGTAACTCTAATTAGTACAAAATATAAATATCCAAGTCTAAAATAATTTTCCTATTTTAGCTTATCTATTTTAATGATTCTGCTGTGTATTTTATATTTCATTTGTCACCAAATGTATTTCAAATATGAGGAATACCCAAGAGAATAATATTAGCAACTACTATTGGCTGACTATTTCTTACATGCCAGTTAATATGAAAGATTTTTTAAAGTATTATAATGTACCAACAATTGACAGTTAATATGAACCATACCCATAAGCATATGTTTTCAAAGGCAATTTATAATTCTTTTTTTGTTTTTTTAAATTTGTAATTCATTTAATATTAGTTCCAATTTAGTCTTCACTCTGATTTCTAAAGCCATTAAAGATTTAGATAAAGTTTAAGTATATTAATTAATCACTTTTGTACAAGAAACATGTGGCTCAAAAGTCACAGCCATAAGTCATTCTCAGGGTTTTGACCAAATCATTCAGAAACTATGCCATTGGCTAAATCTACCATAACTACCAACCATTTCCCAACAGTAAAAGAATTTAAATAGTATAGGCAGGCATTCCAGCCATCTTCTTGAAGACTTATTAAACACAAAATGATTTAAAAAAAAAATTTTTTTTAAACACAAAATGATTTTAATTTAAGTTCTGCAAATAGACTTTGAAATCGTATGTAATTATTGCCATTTTTGCTAGGAATTAAAGAATTTCTCTGAGAAAGAAAAGACTATTTCATACTATATGCTTATGATAATTATTGCCTAAAGATCCTCTGATATGAGAGTATTTTCCCAATTACATATCCTAATACCACAATGCTCTGTTAATCCCCACCTCTGAATGACTAAAACCAAAACACTGGACACCTCCTATCGCAGGGACACTTGTTCTACTCCCTTCATGACTGAAGCTCTTGTAAGATGCGTCCTGTGCTCCGCACGCTGTGGTCCAAGAGCCCTTTTCCCATCACAGGCAGTGAATGAGCCATTTCTGAACTGAATTCATAGTATCAGTAGAAGTACCTGGTTCAAATGGACGCATACCTCTATGAAATCAATAATAACTATGTGCATTAACCAAAGAAAACTTTAGATAAGCATTTTAATGCTATTTTATATACCCTGCCCACTGGATCCAGTTCTCTTTGCTGCAGTGTTAAGTCAATGAAAGGAGGGTATAGGAGCTCACGGTATGTACTGAGGGTGAAAAAAATCAACCTACATTTGGACTGTGTTCGGTAGGCCGGGGAAGATTTTCTCACCGGATATCTTACAGGACAGCTTTTGTGAGAGAAAACTGTCATAGTTCTTAAATACTTTCCCATTTATTCTGCATTTGTCTTTTTCTTCCTTTCTATCAAATACCTTTTTTCCCCTTTCCTCTCGAGGTAGATGACTTTCCCAAAATAAATGGGGTAAATACCTCACTGTACTCTTATTCTAGATGAATTCTTCAACCCCAATTTATTTTCCTGGATAATGAGGATGTAATGAAAGTATTAGGGTAGCCATGGTCTTATGAACCATCCTCTCTGGCATTGTTTTTAAATACAATATAAAATGTATTATCCGAAATCACAGTCTGCCAAAATGGACTGACCGACAGTGCGAGGTCATCACTAACCATCTCTCGGGCATGTTTCTTAGGTGTATCTGTAAGAGGAGAGCAAGGTATTCCTGGCCCACCAGGCCCCGCTGGACCTCGAGGGCACCCAGGCCCATCTGGACCACCAGGAAAACCAGGACACGGAAGTCCCGGACCCCAAGGAGAGCCAGGGTTGCCCGGACCACCGGGACCATCGGCCACTGGGAAGCCGGGTTTGCCAGGACTCCCAGGAAAACCAGGGGAGAAAGGACCATCTGGACCAAAAGGAGATATGGGACCAGCTGGTTTACCAGGACCACGGGGCCCACCAGGGCCACCCGGAATCCCCGGCCCAGCTGGAATGACTGTGAGAGGAAAACCCGGACAACAAGGACCTGCAGGAGCCCCGGGACCCAGGGGCTTTCCTGGAGAAAAGGGCACACCGGGAGCACCTGGTGTGCATGGACAGAAAGGGGAAGCAGGATACGGTGCTCCTGGACGCCCCGGTGAGAGGGGTCTTCCAGGCCCTCAGGGTCCCATGGGACCACCTGGCCTTCCTGGAGTGGGAAAAAGAGGTGAAAATGGGTTTCCAGGACAACCAGGTGCCAAAGGCGATCGGGGTTTTCCAGGAGAGAGGGGACCAGCTGGCCCACCAGGCCCCCAAGGTCCTCCTGGGGAACGAGGACCCGAAGGCACTGGAAAGCCAGGAGCTACTGGAGCCCCAGGCCAGCCAGGGGTTCCTGGGACAAAAGGTCACCCTGGGGCTCCAGGACTAGCTGGGCCCCCAGGGGCTCGTGGCTTAGGGAAACCAGGGTTGCCAGGCCTGAAGGGACAAAGAGGTCCCATTGGCCTTCCAGGAAGTCCAGGTGCTAAAGGGGAACAAGGGCCAGCAGGTCATCCCGGGGAACCAGGTCTAACTGGACCCCCTGGAAATATGGGACCCCAAGGACCAAAAGGCATGCCAGGCAACCAAGGGATTCCCGGTCCTAAAGGTGAGATGGGGCCAGTGGGGCCTGTAGGACACCCTGGGACTAAGGGAGAAAGGGGTTCCTCTGGGTTAGATGGAAAACCAGGGTACCCAGGAGAACCAGGCAGCAGTGGTCCTAAGGGAAACCAAGGGTTACCAGGCCCAAAAGGGGATTCTGGAGTTCGGGGACCTCCTGGTCTCCCAGGCCCTGTGGGCCCAGCAGGAGCTAAGGGAATGCCTGGACACAATGGTGAGACTGGGCCAAGAGGGGCCCCTGGAATACCAGGAACCAGAGGCCCCATTGGGCCACCGGGCATTCCAGGATTCCCTGGATCTAAAGGGGATCCGGGAACTCCAGGTCCTCCTGGCCCAGCGGGCGTAGCAACTAAGGGGCTCAATGGTCCCACTGGGCCACCAGGGCCTCCAGGTCCGAGAGGCCACACTGGAGAGCCTGGCCTCCCAGGTCCCCCGGGCCCCCCAGGCCCCCCAGGCCAAGCAGCCCCACCTGAGGGCTTCATAAAGGCAGGCCAAAGGCCTTTTGTTAGTGCCAACCAGGGAGTGACGGGAATGCCGATGTCTGCTTTCACTGTTATTCTCTCCAAAGCTTACCCAGCTGTAGGTATTCCCATCCCATTTGATAAGATTTTGTACAACAGGCAACAGCATTACGACCCCAGAACTGGCATCTTTACCTGCAGCGTACCAGGGACGTACTATTTCTCCTACCACGTGCATGTGAAAGGGACCCACGTGTGGGTGGGCCTGTATAAGAACGGCGCCCCTGTGATGTACACCTATGACGAGTACACCAAAGGCTACCTAGATCAGGCTTCGGGGAGCGCCGTACTCGATCTCACGGAGAACGACCAGGTGTGGCTGCAGCTGCCCAACGCTGGCTCGAGCGGGCTCTACTCCTCTGAGTACGTCCACTCCTCTTTCTCAGGGTTCCTGGTGGCCCCTGTGTGAGCGTGCTCCCGCCGAGCTCATGTAAATCGGCTTGAGAAGGCGTTCCCCCAACGCCACCGTGCCCCACAGAAAGCATATGGAGGTAGGCCAAAAAAAAAAAATGGGACTAATTTTGATTTTCCAAATACAGATTTGAGCTTTCAGACCAACCAATTCTCCCCCCTGCCCCCGAAAGTGCGCCGCAGCGGTCAACAGGGGGAGGCCCTCCTGAACTTCTAGTCAGCGGTCCCGCGGCTCCTTAAAGTGTTCTGTGAACTCCTTCAGAACTTAAACATTCCACCCTGAAAGTCCTACTAAGCTAAACAATTTAAATGATCACAAAGAAACCCTGAAATGTGACACTAAATTATGTTAAATTTGATTTTGGAAATTCAGCTTTTTTTTTTTTTTTAATCAGCCGATTACCAGGAGAACTTCTAGGAAACATTTAGAGGGTATCATATACTTGAATACTCAAATTTAAAAGGCACTGTATACCCTAAGATCTTTCTGATAGTGCATTACTTGAAGGCTTACATGGCCCCTTCATCAAGATTTATTCAAATGTACAGGTGCACACAGACTTCTTACAACTCTAATAAAAAGCCAAAAGATGATGTTAAAATAAATCTGAAATGCAAGGTGCTTTAGCCATGAATCTTTTCAGATTTTTCTGTGACTCCAGAAAAGCTTTCTATATACCCGTCACAACTTGGAAATGGGTGTCTAACCTAGTTTATTTATTTAATACAAGTGTGATTAATTTGATTTAATTCCATGTTGAGTCTTAACAGATGATGATTTTGTGGGTTTACAGAACATCGCCATAAGGACCTTGAGCCTCCCACTTTAGTGAAATTATTGCTAATGTCAAGGGTTTCAAAATCTGGCTAGAAATGAAAAGATGTGATTTATTTATGCTCTGTACTGTATTTTTATATTGCTGCTTAAAACTTTTAAGCTGTGCCTCACTTATTAAAGCATGACATGTTTTACCTACTCCTTATTTACAATGCAATAAAATAACTTCAACAGATTTTTATGCTGAATTTATTTGAGAGCAGCAATTTGCTATTCTCAACTATTCTCTTTTGAGGCTTTTCGCTTTACAAAGTTCATTAAGGTAAAACAATAAAGTGGTGGGTGGCCTTTACAGTTGTCATGGATACTCCCCTCTACTGGGGTGGGGATTCGCACACACCCCTCAGCACTCCCCGTGGACTACAAAAAGACACCCACAGGACCACATGGGACCTACCAGCCAGGGCTAGGCGCCGGTGACCAGGCACAGAAAAGTGAGACAATCTCGCCAAGCAGTGATTTCTTCAGGAAAGCAAAGAAGCAGGTGGCAGAGAAATATGCAATTTGAAAAAATATTTGGCAGTTGCTAGTTATTGCCTTGACATGTTTTTAGTCACAATATTTAGGATTATTTTGATTACTTAAATTACCATTAAAAGGAAGGCAGGCAATTTTATGTCAATCAAAGGCAACCTTTTTCTAAGCTGAGAAACACTGTTCTTGAGCATCTAACAGTCCACTGGGTGACTCAGGGCAGCCTGGTTCGAGTCCCCGAGGTAGCCTATGACAAAGCATCCCTGTATGCCTTAGAGATCCTCCGCATAACCTTACCCGAGATGCAGCTGTGAGACCCGATGTGCAGCCTGGCCATGACTCTGCCCCATTCTGAGTCAACCAGTCCTGTTTTCCAGCAATGAGAATGGAATTCTCATTCTCCCTACCTGTCTATAGCTACTACGCCCATGGTTCTAGGGAGTAATCCTCATCACCGAGCCAGGAAACAGCACAGCTGGAACTCCATTCCAGGGAACCCACAAAACGCCCCTTCTGGCAGGCCAGGGAGAGAGAGCAGAGCTCAGAGGACAGGCAATTGTAGCCATGGAGCAGACATGAATAAAGAACCTCTTAAAATATAAGCAGTACCAACTTCATAGCAAAATTTTAGATAAAATGAAGTCCTGATTGAGGAACATGTCAAAATAGGTAACTTCAAAGTAATTCACAAGCCGCGCAGCATTTAGCAAACATCGATTAGAAAGTCTCCTATCACATTACTCACCCTTAAAAGCTGACATTTTATAATTGTGTTGTATACCAGCAACTATATCCTTCCAAAAATCAAATGTTTTTTGACCATTGTTCCGCTGAAAAAAAAAAAAATCCCAAATGTTAACATGTAATGTAATAACATGTAATAACACATGTAATAATTTTTTAAGCACAGTAAAAAAAAAAAAGCAGGCAATTACGATATTGCCATAATCTAAAAATGGGACTCATATTTTAGAAAAGATAACAGATGAAAAAACACATTCTTGGAATGGGATTTTAAGAAGAAAGATCTTCCAAGAAAATCACTACTACGGATACATATATACACATGCATATAACTAAATATTAATATGGCTCATATGGCCTAAATAAAATAGAAATTTCTACTCAGTGTGAAGTCTAAAAATTATATATTTTAGACACAGGAGTAAATTTACAGTGTTATAGCTTTCTGTACCGCGGCATCAATGGGGCTAAGAAGCCCCAAGTCCTAAAGTCCTAAAAGCTGGTTACTTTAGAATTCAATGCACACTTACCTGACTTTAATAAAAAAGAGTAGAAAATCTCCACAGGAGAGATGAAGGAGGTTCCAAATCCAAAACATAAACCACTTTTATTTAGATTTTTTTTAAACCAGGAAGCAAATAAACATTACATTGAAATACATAACCCCACAAGGCCTTGCCGTCTTGGAACCATTATTAACCAGTGTCCTTCTACCTAAACAAAGATAAACTACTAGACATTTGTACCTAATTAAACTCTTGAATATCTGAAGACTAATACATTTGCCTGAAGTCACTATGGATGAAAAACTGACTCCATCTTATGTAAATAATAACTTCTACATGATAAAATAATTGCTCAACGGAAACTCACAAACACATGACTAATTCTGGCTCAAAAGAAAACCACTATCCATGTTCTATTATTAACATGATCGTTATGATGTTCAAAGACAACATATGCAAAACTGAAAAGTAATTCTGACATAAAATTGGTGTCTGTTCACAGGTATATTCAATATATCTAATAATAATAATCATATTCTTATTCAGTAATATAATAATTATATTCCTAAGTATATTCAATAATTTATTCAATCTTCATAAACAGTACAAAGTCTATACATATCAAACTGCTCAAAATGAGGAACTTAAAAACTTCATCTCATTTTTTTTGATTTTGTATTATTTAGAGTGCTTAACGATGGTGGGATTTTTAAAATTATCTTTAATTATTTTTTTAAAATCTGCTAATGAAACCCAAGAAAATATTCTTTCCATCTGTGAGGTATTTTCTTTTTAGACATTTGCACCCCCTGCTGGAGAAGAGGTTTATTATCCCTGAGGGGAAAAATGGTCAGGGCTATTTAATTTTCCCAAAATATCTGACCAAATTCTGTTTTCCTTCCTCAGTCACTTCCAAAACCACAAAGAGGAAACTGAGTAAAATCTCAACCCAAAAGACATATATAATTAAGTCCTCTGATTTATGACTGAATACCTATTGTAATTTATGAAAAATGAGTCCCTGCTCACCTTTGTTAGAGAGTCCACCACTCTGGCACATAGAAGCGCTCCTGGCAGGTCAAAGTAGTTATCATAAAAATAGTATTTTCCTAAAAAAGAACAAAATTTTACACTGGGAACAAATGGCTCATTTATGTGACACACAGAAACTTGGCTGAAGAGACGCCAGACTTTGGTCTGGTTCCTTAGAGGGGCCTCTATTTCAATTCAGAATAGCTCTAGTACAGGTGTTCACTGTCTTTTATCTTTTAAAGAAGGGTTAAGCTATAAGAAAATTAAAAAATGACAGCCCTAATTCAAGGATCTTATGAAAAAAAATTTTATGTAAAAACGAAAACTAGACTATATGTTAACCATGAAATGGATTATAAAACAGCCACAATTTATGTTACCAATGTCATTGAATTTCAAGACAATCAGCCTAACACTGGAGCACCACGAAGTCATTTGCACAACAGCCCTTCTCATATCTGTGCTGGCTGGTCCATCTTCAGTTTCATGTGAGGACAACCAGGGTGATGAGAGGAATAGACAACAACAACAACATATCACATCATGTGAGGATATGGTGTACTTATCTGGGAAAAAGTCAGGTGCACAGAACAGGGACGGTAGAATCTCAGGGAAGAGAGAGATTGATTTATTCTGCTTGACCCTAGGACAGAATTAAACTTGAGCCCTTCCTTGGTGCAGATGTCTCTTTTGAATCTGCTGTCCCTGGGCAGACCCTTGATGACCCATATTGCGTTCCTTTGGCTCATGTTTGAGCCCAGTCACTGCTGTGCTTAATGGCATCATCCCACCTCAAGCACACCTGTGTCATTCAGTCCCTCCAGAAGCCTGGGGAGTCCATGTGGCTCATGTGGCGAGCCTCAACCAGAAGCCAGCAGGAGAGCCTCAAGTTTAGGGGCCAGTGAAGGCTCCTGTCCCCTGGATCGACAACTCTGGGAGATATTCTCAGTGCTTCTCAGAAATCCAGTGGAATCCAGCTCCAACTGTTTCTACCTTCTACGGCTTACCCTCTCCACTATCTCATTCCTGTATACCAGGATCAGGACCAACCACTCTGCTTTGGGGGGATCCCAATGTCATAGAATCCCTAGGGAATCCTTGTACAAGGAGGAATCAAACAGACCCAAAGGTGAAGCCAGACTGTAGTTTAATGTGAGAAAGTATCTCCTCAATGGTCATAACTGTTGCATGCAATATTGTAAGTGCCTGATTTAAGTACTCCCTTCTTCCCATTTGTAAGCTAAGTATGAAGTTATGGAGCACAGCAGTCTTGTTCTCTAGCGTCCACTGAGCTCAATACCCAGCATATTGCAGGGACTCGACAAATGTTTGTTGAATGACTGAATGATCTAACAGTGGAATGGATTTTTGGAATGAGGGCCACAGGTAAATCAGGAGAAAATC